GGAGTGGTGTGGATTACTTGTGGATTATTGTGATGTTTGGCTGTTTGGACTCTCATTCTGACGGCACCCATTCACTGCAGAGGATCCATTGGAGAGCAAGTGATGTAATGCTAGATTTCTATTCCTTTAAATACAGCAGCTGTGTTCATATTGCAATACTAGGGTTGAGCTGTTTTTAAAAATAGTACACAAAATAGTCAATATGCAATGATAAATGTTGCAAACATTACTGTGCAACACTGTTGTCACTTGATCTTATATTAACCAAAGGTTAATCTAAAATAGATTTCACATTTTCAGTTCAGTTTTGTGTAAATATGTCTTAACTTTTGGCACTGGGATCAAACAATGAGCCAAGATGGTGTTATAAATGGTGGCTGATATTACTTACGGTTCTTTAGTCACACTGGAAATGGAAGGTCAAGTGGAGGACATTGCATTGTGGGATACAGAATTCAGCTCAGTGAGCTCTAGTTTTGCACTGCATATTCTGGAAAATGCAGAAGGTCATGTTGCTTTTCCATGCATAAACTTTTTCACATGGCATTCAACGTACATACTGCATACCGCAGAAATTGTAGTACGCTAAAGCCAACATGAAAATGACATTATAAGGTGACATTTCTGGCTGCAAAAGTATGTTGAATAGAAAAGAAAAAGTAAAAAAGAAAAGCTGCTTCAGAAGTGGAGGAAGTTGCATTGCATTAACATAAAAACAAACAGTGAATTTCTTTAATGCATGGATGAATTATTTATAATAAACGTAGGAACGTTTTTAAAGGATGTACATAAAAGTCCATTTTGATCTGATGCATAAAATCACTCCAAACTCCTGCAGTCTGCTTGTTAAACCGAGATATTAAACTGAATGAAAGCTATAAATGACTGCACCACCCTGATAACAAACACTTTTGCGCTTTTCAAGGCAACACATCACCGGCACACACAATTACACCCCATTTTCTGCTCGTTTAGACACGTTTCAGGCAACTGATTTGGAAAAGTCGTCTTTGAGGGGATCTCAGCTCGATGTCCTTTATTTGTTTATTCTTCCACCTGACTATCCTTCACTCGAGTGTTTTGTGTCGAGCCCAGTCATAATTACCCAAGACAGCTTCTAATTAGGAGCTCAAAATCCACCAAAATCCAGTGATTGGTTCATTTTCCCCGTTCATACACCACCTGTTTTGAAGGTTAAATTAAAGGTTAACCTAAAGAGAGCCAAAAATGACCTTTATCTTTCAAGGGTTCATTTTAATCACAAACAAAATTACAGGCCGCTTCCACTTTTGCCTTTTGAGAGTGTTAGTGTGCGTGTGTCACAGTCCAAATTTAGCAAAATAATAACCCTAATAATGACTTTTAGAAACAAAAATGGCATCCTCATATTTTATAAACCCTGCACAAAGAGCAGATCTTCTTACTATTTAAATCTCGTTTGAGAAACAGTATGCATAACACAACATTAAATGTTTCAAACAGTAGCATGTTATACTGTCACATGAATGTATCACATCACATGCTAGATTCAATTAAAAATGTAATCATTTTAGGGGACCATTTTTTTAACACAGCTTTCTTATAAGGTTCCATCTATAATATAAAAAGGCTTTTTTCCCAATTTGTTTTTTTTAAGCAGAATTAAGTCTTAATATTTTATACAGTATACCAGGGTTTCTGAATACATTCATGTCACATGAATGTATCACATCACATGCTAGATTCAATTAAAAATGTAATCATTTTAGAGGACCATTTTTTTAACACAGCTTTCTTATAAGGTTCCATCTATAATATAAAAAGGCTTTTTTCCCAATTTGTTTTTTTTAAGCAGAATTAAGTCTTAATATTTTATACAGTATACCAGGGTTTCTGCAGGTTTTATTTAAGACTTTTTCAAGACGTTTTTAAGACCAAGTAAAGAAAATTTCAGGAATAAATTGAAAGGAACACAATACATCAACATGTTATCAAACCAGCACAATGAGTTGTATTAGCAACACTTGAATGTTTAAAAATACAGCTTCCAACCGATTACTCCATTAATCATTTTACAAACAAATAGCTGAAAGCCTGAACACCTCTGTTCCCAACCACCAGAATATGGACATAACCCTAATTTCTAGTGTACCTGCAGAAAGTGATATTCTTTCTCAGTATTTTGGTCTTGTTTGCCAGTACAAATGTTTAAAGATTCTTAAATCAAGATACATTTACTTGAGAAGCAAAATAAAGTGAGTTATTAAAGGCAGAGTAAGCGATTTCTGGTAGCCAATGTTGATATTTGAAATCACCAAAACAAGCTGATTGGCTACAAGTTTGTTTTGCTATTCGGCCCGAATCAGTTTTCTAAAGTGTTTTTGAAAAATCACATACCCTGCCTTTAAAAAAGAACAAATATCTGCCATTGGGCTCAGAAAAATCTACTTAATTTAAAGAGAAAACAAGTTTTCATACTCCACTGACAGACATGTGTTAGGCATAAACTCAATTTTGTTAAAATTTGTCATATCTTCATTTTGCATCTCGAATAAAAAAAAAACATATCTTGATATAAAGATGTTTAGATATTTCTATTGGTTAAAAAAAGACAACCACTGAGAAAGATATTCATTTTTGCAGTACATGCAATATTTAATGCCACAACTTTACGAATTTAAGACCCTTTTAATGCCTTAATTTGTCGAATTACGCCCTTTTAAAGACCTGCAGAAACCCTGGTATACGGACATAAAATTCACACACTGCAAAAACAGCATGTATGGTTATATGTCATATTATGCTACACTAACTGTAATAGGATAAAATCAAAACACTTATATTGTGTTAGAGAGACGGTGCTATTTTAGAAACAAGAAACAAAACACAAAACATCTATGCTGTATCTAAATGTGCATTCACTTAAGACTTTTAGACTTTTTAGCATGTATGTGGCATTAGTGGACCTCTAACTCTTGTGCTAATCTGTTATTTGTACATCAGAGCACTTGGCAACTGACATCCAGCAGGCAGATGCTGGTGTTTTAATGTAAATAACTTTGTGCTTTTGGACCAATGGCGACGTAATCAATTAAAGATGAAGCCATTGGACCATCTGGATTATGATGGTGTACTATGAATTTTAATTTACAATTTATTTTTTATTTTAGATTGCCGTCTACATCTGGATTTGTAAAAGTACTGCACTTTTTCTTTTTTTTTGCAAAATGTTTGCATTTTCCTGTTGTAAAGTATCTGAAGCACATCCTAAAAAAGTTTCCTGCGAGACTTCAAGCCAAAGGTTTCGTCAGTAGATGTGAGGAAGAGTCAACATCATTAGAACGGCCCGTGATGGAGATCTGCCTGCAGGACTGAAGATTACAACTTCTAGGGCAGGAAAAAAGAGCAGATCTTTCCTGCAGTAGGTGGAGGAGAGCAAAGCTCCAAAGGGCATCGCAAAACAGCATGGAAGAGGAGGAGAGTGGGAGGGAATGGAATGGCACCGTGCCACGGTTTGCCGAGCGAGACGACGGAGACCAAATGGATGGAGAAGACTGTGATGATAAAAAGAGAAACCTCAGCTTGGGCTGATGGACCTGATTTCCACTGCCACCTCTCATCCGACTTGGTCGACTAAAACACTTCTTCTTGGAACTGCAACTCCTCTGTTTGCATTTGTACTCCTAGATATTCATAAATGAAGCTTTTATGTACATTTGAATGCACTGAAACAATATCAATATATTGAAATAAACACTTTTGCATATGTTCAAATTCAGAGACAAATAGCAATAAAAATAATGAATTATTATTATACCTGTAAAAAAGTACTAAAATAAATAAATAGTTTTTGCCAATCCTCTGATGGCTGGACAAAATGTGAATAATAATAATAATAATAATAATAATAATAATAATAATGTATTATGTATTGCAACAAATGAAAAAAAAAAAATAATGCTAACAAATAGATCAATATTATTAAATAACAATAATTATAATAATAACAATAATCTTTGTCAATCCAACAACTGGACAAAATGTAACGACAAATTTATTAATTATTGAAGTTAATAAAAGTAATGATTCCTGTCAGTCTTTAGAAATCACCCAGAAACTATTATATTGATAAATAAGTCATTAATTAATCTCATGAATTATAAATACAATAAAACCAAAATATAAATTCAATATTCTTTGAACCTCAAAGGATTTGTAAGTATTTGTATGTCTCTACAGTTGCACAATAAAGGCAAGAACACAGTAGAACATGTCTACCTCACTATGTGGGAAGATTTGCATAACGCCGCCCAAATGTTCACGCAAAGAAAGAAGGCGTAACTTTTATTCTCGTTGTAGTTTTGTTGTTGCCGCTGCCGCCATGTCGTGAAGACGCTGTGTGCTTCGTTGTGAAAGCGAAACTACTTTGTTTGGTCTTCCGAAAGAGGACACGACTACATCACGAGGGTGTCGGTGGGCCACTGTCCCCTTGCCCCTTTTAATGATGAGCGATGTCCTCCAATTAGAGACGTGGACAGCCCCTAAAGTGGCCAATCATTAATCACACGCCTGCCGCGCTTCTACCGCACAAAATCACTCTCTGATTTATGACTTCTCGTGCTCTACTGTTCCTCCTCTCTCTCATTGTACCTCCTTTCCTCCTCTACTCATCCGTCCTTCTGCGCGCTGAGAAATCAATCAGCCGCAGTGACCTTTCACTTATACAATCAAAAGGTTGTTACTGAGTATATGATACATAAAAATCGCAGAGCAGAATTATTTGCTCAAAGGGTGCTCTTTCATAACTCAGAACACTTAAAGGGATACTCCACTCCAAAATGAACATTTTGTCATTAATCACTTACCCCCATGTCGTTCTAAACCCGTAATCAACATAGTCTCATAGTTCTCCTAAAATCATTGGTTTCTTTGAAAAATTCATTGATGAGCTTTAAATTGACACAATGACTTATGTAAGGTAACTAAACAAGCCTATTGTTAAATATGAAATAAAGACACTTATAACTTATATAACACAAATAAGAGATTAGTAGATTAGTAGATCATACAATATATTATATTATATGTATAATATACTAATAATATTCTTTTATTTAATAGTTTTTTGATTACTTTTCATATAATAATAATACAGGAGAAACAATAATGTACAGTATGTGGAAAATAATGTGTTTTTTTAACTTTAAACCGCATAAACACATTTCATTACACCAAATACACAAAATAATGTTCTTTTTAGCAGCATCATATGACCCCTTTAATGAAAAGTTTTCATTTGAAAGAGCACAAAACAAATAAAAATATCTGTCACTTACAACATCCGAGTCGGCTTTGGAGTCATAGTACTGGATGTCATTTTCCTAAAATAAAACAAAACAAAACACAAACATTAATGATGTAAACATTTATGTAAAAATGATTGCCTTGAGGACCATTAATAACTTTCCAGCTCATGCCATTTTGATTTACCTGCCTTCTGCATTATAGTTTTCATGTGAACCAAAAAAAAAATCCCTATTAGCTCATTAGTTTCCCAAGAAAATAAAGCAATAATGAAATTACAGGCCTGTCCTGAGGGCGCTGTCGTGAGACGTTAATTGTCATTTGTTTTGATGATGTCTGTTGTGCTTTTATATTCACTGTCGCATGCACATCGTCTTTTTTGTTTGTTGAATTAGGGATCTGCTGCTGAATTAGACATCTGCTCACGAAGCAGAAAGACTGAGCCTTCTTTTAAAATAATAATTCACTGAAACTGACATGACACGGCATGAAACTTCACCTGCCATTAGTTTTGACCAGATGATCACTAGAATCTTCTGATTCAATGTTCATGTACTCATCATTACTTCATCAAATCTTACAGGATCATTCACTCACCCTAACATCCCTCAATTATCTTAGCTTAATCATTTATATAGATGTTTAGCTAACAAGTGTGAAACCAGCCTATACTCACAATTCATTCATTAATCAAAGTGAATGTTAGATTTGTCAATATACATATCATAAATACTGAGACACTGCATTTGCATTTGTCATTAAAAATGAAAAAACAAACATTTTGCGAGAAAATAGAAACGAGTAAATAATAATAATATTATTATTATAAAAATAAAATATATTCTATTAAAATATAAAAAAATGTGTACTATGAAAATGGAAGCAGGACTAATGATAAAAAAATACATACATACATAAATACATAAAGACAAAATTATTACAAATATAATGTTACATATTAATTAATATTGAACATACACAATTTTTAGTTTAATTTTTAGCAAACATAAATTATTGCACCTCAGTAGCCTGTCTCAGTAATTATTGCTTTAGAGTTGCATAATTTTTTATAATTTATTTATTTTAATAGAACAGAAAAGAAAGTTTTTACACCACTTCAATGGATATATGTTGGTATTTAATGTCAAATATATTTCACATTAAACACTGACATATCTTCTCTTAAAAACCGGTCTGTGAAGTCTTGGCTGCGCAAATTAAACCTCTTGTCTAATATTGGAAACACTATGAAGTGTGCTTGAAATTCTTCCAAAAAATAAGAGAAGCATCCATGACAGAACAAGCTGAAATAGACCAAAGGATGTTCCCGGACATAATTTGACATATTTGAGAGTAGAGAAGCATCCAGTGGTTGTGTAAATGCTGTGATCTGAATGGATCAGATGTGATGTGCTGCTGTAGTGTAGGACTGCTCATGTGTCCTGATGCCAGCGGTGGGACCTCTCTCGCCTTCCCTCAGGGGGGATCACCACATGGGGAAAAAGGTCAGATTTCATGCCTTTCTCCACTGCTTTCTTGTTTTCTCCATTTGGAACAGCATATTATCACTTTGCTCTTATTAATTATGAAGCAAGCAGTATGCAACATTTCTGTTTGGAATGCACAAAATACTTTGCATATACACTGGTGGTCAAAAGTTTGGAATAATTACGATTTTTAAATGTTTTTCACAGAGGTCTCTTCTGCTCACCAAAGCTGCATTTATTTGATCCAAAAATACAGCAGAAACAGTAATATTGTGAAATATTATGACAATTTCAAATAACTGTTTTCTATGTGAATATATACATTCAAAAGTTTGGGGTAAGTGGTTTTTCTAATTAATTACTTTTATTCAGCTAGGAAGTATTAAATAGATCAAAAGTGACAGTAAAGATATTTATAATGTTATTTAAAAAAAAAATCACTATTTCAAATAAATTCTGTTCTTTTAACTTAATATTCATCAAAGTATCCTGCAAAATGTGTCATAATTTCCACAAAAAATGAATAATAAATGTTGTTTTTTTTTATGTTGATAATAATAATAACAACTATTATTAGTAACTAACTACCAATAATAATTAAGCAGCAAATCAGCATATTAGAATGATTTCTGAAGATCATGTGACACTGAAGACTGATGCTGAAAATTCAGCTTTGCAACACAGGAATTACAATTTAAAATACACTACAATAGAAAACTGTTATGTTAAATTGTATTAATATTTCTCAACATTACTGTTTTTACTGTACTTTTGATCAAATAAATGCAAAAATTCCAGTTCTCCCAAAAGTTTGACCAGTAGTCTAGCATTTATATTTAATAATAACTAAACTTTACTTTCTATTTCCAAAGTGACAAATGAGTCCAAACTATATCAGTAGTAATTTTGATCATCTCCTTGACTCATTTTAGATTGAATTGACGAAAGTTTGAATTAAAAATGCTAGTAACTCTAGTTATTGTCAAGATAACTGGATGCCACTTGCAGACTTACACATGATGCAACATAATGAGATCAATGTGACAGAGTAGCATACTAGTGTTTGTTTGATACATTTAAAAACATACTGCATCATGCATACAGCAGAGTATACTGTATAATGCATGCTGAATATAATTTTTTTATATATGCAAAATTGTAAGCATGCCTAATGTTTCAAACAGCAGTATGCAGTTGTTGTTTATACATATGCATGAACAGTTCAGTGACTGCAGTCATTTTACATCAATGCATTTTTTAAAATTGTCTTAATGTTGTTTGTTAGTGCAGTTAATGTGATAAGAAAAATAAGTTAAAAATTGGAGCTGATTTTATTTCATATGGAAATGTCATTGAACATGTAGTTGTTCATGTAAGTTATCAAATAATTAATAAATAAATAATAAAATAATTAAAAGCAGCATGCATACTACAGGACCACAATGAGTAGTATGCTAGTATGTGATTCCAAAATAGCCTGTTTCTCTCTGGTTCTCTGTCCATGCCAGTTCTATTCCCGTCTCTCTCTACAGTGCCAATCCAAACGCCAACACCACAGTGACAACAACAGCGCCTGAGCTGGTCACAAGGCAGTGGTCAAAAACGCTGACAAATCTACACAACCCTGCAACACACACGGCTCACAGCAGCATCTCCCGGGACTCTGTCAGGAGATCAACAGATAGAGACAGAAATAGAGCGAGAGAAAGTTCCATTCCTTCAAATCAGAAAGCTAGTCAGTCATGAGCGATGACCTCCCGCCCTCTCCTCTCCAAACCTCTCTTCCGGCCCCTCCAGGTCTCTCAGGACAGGACGTGCCGCATCTAGAGATCCTTTCCACAAAACGCCCAAATGCACAACACACTCCTGCCGCCAATGTCATTTGAGAAAAACAGGTGCCTTTTCCATTTCCAAATTAACATTTTTACATTTACATTAGACAAAGAACGTCTTTAATGACATTGTTTCATCTTAATGGGATTTTAAGGACTTAATGGATGCCTAAAAGGATGCCTTCAGTTCAAGGTCATGACACTTCAAGATGTTTATTAGAAAAATAATTTCATTCTGATATTTCTACAAATGTCCATTTTTCTTTTATCAACTGTTCACTATACAAAAAACATGGTAATAGGGTTTAAAGTTTGAGATCTTCCGACAAATCTAACAAAAAATAAACCTATTGTAGTCCTTGACGAGGTAATGTAATGCAATGATGAAAAAATATGAAAAACATTTGAATATATAAATAAAATTTAAATATATAAAATATGAAGCATAGGATTTTAATAGTAATGTTTATTAAATATAAGATACATATAATAAATATTACATTATATTTATATACATTTATTAACCATATCTTATAATGCTATTTTAATATACACTACCCTATAAATACATTATTCTTTATATAAAATTAATAGATTAAAAGTATCTATAAATAGATCACACACCCACACCCACACACGTAATACTGTGTTAATATTTTAACCAGTTGTATTACAAATAAAAATACATATTTTGAATAGTTTATTTAGAGGGTAAATTTATAACTTCAAGTCATAAATGTAAGTCTTTTAACAATATATTGTCAACTGAAACCTAAAAAAAAACCAACAAAACATTAAAGGGGTCATATGATGCTTTTTTAAAGATCATTATTTTGTGTATTTGGTGTAACAGAATATGTTGACATGCTTTAATGTTCAAAAAACACATTATTTTTCAAATACTGTACATTATTGTAGGTCCTCTATGCCCCGCCTCTCTCAAACGCTTCGTTTTCTACAAAGCCCCCTCCTT